TGTGCAGGGGTGCTCCCCGTGGATTGTTCCATGAAGAGTGTGTGTGCATGCATGCGTGTGTGTGTGTGTGCACGCAGGGGTGCTCCCCATGGATTGTTCCATGAAGAGTGTGTGTGCGTGCATGTGTGTGTGTGTGCAGGGGTGCTCCCCGTGGATTGTTGCGTGAAGTGTGTGTGCATGTGTGTGCAAGGTGCTACCCACGGATGGTTCCATGAAGTCTGGATCTTGGAGAAGGGTGGGTACTCGCCGAGGCTCTGGAAGCTACAGTGACATTCTCCAAGGCGGCTCCCAGACCCCCTGGCTTGTACCGCTTGAGGCCAACAGCCCCGCAAAGCCAGGCGCCTTGCACAGTCACTGCTACCGCTGTGGAAAATGGAGAGTGGCTTGCTCTTCCCGCGTGTGGCTTACTCCCAGCTGGGGGTGGGGGCCGGTGCCAAACTCCAGCACATCGTGGCACCTGCTTGGGGCGCAGCCTCCTCCACCTTTCTAGTCCTCTCAGCCCGACTGCGGGATTTGCTGAAGACACGGGCTTGCCAGAGACGCCCTTCATGCCTCCCCAAGAATGGTTGCCATCGCGTCTCCACCTCCATTCCTGGCCTCTGCCAGAAAAACCTGGCGCCAGATACACCGACAGCTTATCTACAAGTTCAGTGGGATATTTCTGTCCATTTCTCTTAAGACTTTGGAATATTTTTCTGCGGGCAGATAGTGGGGGCAGAGGGGTCGACATAACTGTATCCTGGGCTTTTAGAGATGCTAGGAAAGGATGCAGGGTGGTGGTTCAGAGCGTGGGTTCGAATCCCGGCGCTGCTCCTTACTAGTTGTGTGATTGCGGGCAAGTTACTTAACCCCGTTGTGCTTCCGGCTCTTCATTTACGTACGGAGGGACAATGATAGCACCAAGCCCCCACAGGTAATAGCCTTGGAGAGAAAGGGCATCTGCATCTGGTCCCTGAGCATGAAGGAATCCGTTTTACTGGCTTCTTGCTTATTTGCAATGAATCCAGACTGTGGAGGGTTGTGTGCATTTTTTAAGACTGAGGGGTGTGTGCATTTTAAGACGTTACAGAAAAAGTGCTTTTGCAGATTAGGGATTTCAGAGAGAAAAGACTGGACGGCTTCCTTAGAACCATCAGACATCTCGTTCACTCATGCACACGTCCAGGCCCCTTTCCTCCACCAGTGGGAGGCCCACCTGGGTTGAAGCAAGCAGCTTTCTACACACCTTCCTCCCGTTCCCTAAGTGTGCCGTGCACACGGCCTCATCAGCAGACTCTTGGCAAATGGGAAAAGCCGCCCTGTGTTTCACACGGCTGGTGGCAGGGAGGCCAGGGAGGCTGACAGAGCAAATGGAATGTGCGAGGCTTCTAAATGTCATATCTGGGGACGGTGTTGGCAGGCCCATGCAGCGCCCCACAGTAAACCTGCCACAGATGCCTTGGGTCACTGGATCCTTTCTTTCTCATCACTGCATTCCGGGGCCTTGTGTTCTCTCACCAGCAAAGCCTGGAACGTTCAGCCCCAAAACATGCCAGGAGCGTGTTCTTTTTGGTTTTTCTTGTTTTTGTTTTTGTTTTTAAGCAACCATAAAGCTTGGATAAGGGACATGTGTCACGAGGGGGTGCCACCCCAAAGCGCCGTCTCCAGAGTAGCCACCCCCAGCATGCTCGAAGACTGGGAGATTAGTTCTCTCCTGCCCCATCGCAGACGCCCTGAGGTGCCTCTCAGGATCCAGAGCTTTCTGTCTGGGATACGCCTGCTCCGTGTGCCAGGCCTCCAGCACACCTCGAACCCTATAATCTGCCGCAGCAGAAAAGGTGAAACCAGGATGCCCCTCTCCTCTGTGCGGCATGACCTTGTTCCCAGGCCACTGTGGGGAGATCCCACACGTCTGAGTCATCGGCATGACCCTCCACTGTCACGGTCTCCCTCATAGGAACCCTCACCCCACCCCACCCTCAAGGGGCAGAAGTATCTCTGCCCATCGTCTCCCTCTCTCTCCCCTGCCCCTCCCACCACCCTGCTGTGTCAAGGGCCAGAACAGCTCCTGGGAGACCAGGAGGGGCCCAGCCCACCTGCATCTCCTGGCGACTCCTTGATGAGGCCAAGGAACATGGAATGAGGTGACAGGGCTGTGCTCAGGGAAACACGAGCAGACGAGGTGCCTGCTCTCATGAAGCTTGTAGGAGCCAGAGGAAACCACCAGCAGACAAATAAGCAGTCATTTCAGCTAGTGCTGGATGACATGGGCCAGAGCGGGACTGAGGGCCAGGGCTATCGCAGATGGGATGGCCCGGGAAGGCCTCTCTAGAGAGGTGATATGGGGGTGGAGGTCTGCCAAGGTCACGGGGAAAAGTGTCTTAAGCCTGAGGAATAGCAAGTACAAAGGCCCTGAGGTTGACCGAGTTTCTCCTGCCCTCCCGTTAGGACCACTAGCCTTCTAACTGGTCCCTGCTCCATGCTCCCTGTCTTCCAGCCTCTTCTCCACCCCGTGCTCTGCTCACCATCACCCCAGGGTTCCCGGTCCTCGGGTGCTAAGGCCCCAAATCTTGTAGTTGGGCTGAGGCCCTGCCTGAGCTCTCCCTTCTCCAGTGCTTGATTTTTTAGCATAGCTCAGTTGTCACTTGCTCAAGGAGGCCTTCCCTGGTCAGCACCTTCCTCTCTGAGTTGCTGATGGAACACCCACAGATGGCTGCTCTCATCCGAGGGATTCTAGCACCTGAATGTGTGGCAGGTGCAGGGGACATGGGCCTCTAGCTTGCAGGAGGTGACACTGATGCTTGACGAGGTGAAGTCCCGGGCTGCGCCCCTTACGGGGCTGGTTGCTAGCATCCCGATCTGTCATTCTTTCGGCCACCTTCAAGTAACCGTGATGGCCCCCAACAGAGGTCCAATGGGGTTCCAAGCGGCCCTCTTGAAAACTCTCTGCTCTGACGGTGGAAATGCCCACTTTCGTCACCGGTCCCCACCTTAGAGATCGCAAGACTCAACCTCCCAGAGCCTCTTCTCCCCCGCCCTGCCCCCAGGGCTCGGGGGCATGTGGGCTTGGGTCTGTGGACCCCCCCATTGTCCAGTCCCACACAGCCTGTCTCGTCTTACCCAACCAACACCGCCCCTCCATCACCGCCGTCTCCTCACCACCTTGCAGGGGCCTTGGTCACGGTGAAGCCACGGGGGGGCCCCAGCCCGCCCCACCTCCCCCACCTCCGTCCTCCCACCTCCACCCTCCTTTCCCCACTGCCCAGCCCGGCACCACCGACTCGCCACGACTCAGCCCTTTGCTGAACCGCTAGTTACTCACCACACGCGAAGCAGAGTGGGTGGAGGCCGGTGCCCAGACACACGGATACTCAGCCTCCGCACGAGACTGTGCGCCCCCGGGGGCCAGGCCTGCGCCCCACAAAGATCCACACAGGAACACCACTAATACGTAGCAATTCTAGCCCCCCTTTTACGGTTTATTTTGCGGGACGCCCCATTCCCGCCCCCCCCCAGCTTTCAAGCCGGAGGGTAGTGACTGCCGTGAACAGGTGCATGGCCCCCAGGGTGCCGAGCCCACGGGGGTCGCTCAGGAGCCGTGGCAGACAGGACCCTCGTCCCGCGGACTCGAGCCTTCCTCCCCAGTTAGGCCACGAGGAGACAACCCCCTGGCCTTCAGTCCCCAGGCTGCGTGTGGCCTTGAATGCTACCCCAAGCCGTGCTTGGGAAGGCACCGTGGCTTACAAGATCAATTCCCACGAGGAGACCCTAGGCCCGGCCGTGAGCTTAATAGGCGTAAGAATTGTCATTCATCGTTCTTGTAACCGCCCTAACTGCGATGTATTTATGCGTGTATCTGGTTTTCTGTCTCCCCCACTAGAATGGAAGCTCCATGAAAGCAGGGACCCGCGCGCATCTATGCAGTTGCTGACACTGAGCAGGAAATGTCCCGGGCTCAGGTGGTCTCTTGTGTTCCACGGGGTCAGTTTGCCAAGTTAGGAGAGACTGCAGGGGACCAGGCTCTTCTTAGAGCCTCGAGAAGAAAGTTCCGTTGGGAGGAGGAGCACGCCTGCCCCTCCGCACCGCCAGAGCTGGGTCCTGGGACTGGTCAGCCGAGGGTCCTCTTCAGACGACACGCAGCTGCCTGGACCCCAGCCTGGCTGCCGCCCACCCCTGCCAGCCCTGGGCGCCAAAGACAAGAGCGTCCTCGCAGCGGGGCATGGGGATGAGCCACCCTGGGCCCACTCTTTGAGAAGCTGGCGGTTTCCTTGCGAGTCTCCGTCTCCCAAGACAGCAAGAGTGCAGGCTGTATTCCTGCTAGCAGAAGTCACCGTGCCTCTCTGGTCGCTGCTGTCCCGTCGACATGACGGGGGCACTGAGCAGAGTGACCTCCTGAGCTCTGGCCCGAGCGTGAGGGGTCCGGCAGGGGCAGCGTGCCTCCAGGAACACGGCGTCGGAGGCCATCTGGGCTCCGGGCCCTAGACGGAGGGACGGCATTCCGGGTCACAGCCTTCATTTCCCTTTGGACGGTGACCCGCCTCGGTCTGGAATCGGTTCAGCCGTTGTGACAACTCTCCTGCTACGGGAGCCTGGACGGATCTAGTTTCTGAGCCTTGCTCCCTTTCTTGCTTTCTGGGCAGGCTTCCGATGCAGCGGTCCTCACTCTTGGCTGCACGTTGGAGCTATTGGGAAGCTTCACGACTTAGGGATGCCCAGGCCGCACCCCGGCCAGGCGGATTTGACTGGTCCAGGGGACCACAGGGATGCTGGGCTTTATAAAAGCCCCTCAGGTGATTCCCATGTGCAGCCCGACTCTGGGGCCACAGCCCGCACCCCACCCCCATGCATCTGCCTCGGGGACCCTTCTGCAACACAGCCCAAGCCTCTCCCGGCTCCACCACCAAAGACCATCTCGCCCTGCTGTTCAGACTCCTTGACCATGCTTTCCCACCTGGGCTGACCTGTGGCCCCAACCCCCAGACTGAAGAGTTGAAGGCCCTTACCCCCAGGCCCCCAGAATATGACTGTATATGGAGATGGACCCTTTATGAGGTCATCAAGCTGAGGCTGTTATGGGGGCCCCACGCCAATCTGACTGGTGTCCTTAACGAGAAGAGGAGATTTGGACACAGAGATTCACCAGGGGGACGATTTTGTACTGAGGAAAGGCCGTGTGAGGAGAACATGGCCATCTGCCCGCGAAGGAGAGAGGCCTCAGAAGAAACCAGCCCTTCAGGCACCTTGACCTTGGCCTTGCTGCCTCCGGAGCTGGGAGACTCCATTTCTCTCCTCTGTGCACCCCCACCCCCCCTCAGCCCCTGGAGCTTTGTTACAGCAGCTCTGGTGGATGAATATGTCACCTTCCCAGCAAGGCGGGAGGCATGGTGGCCCAGAGCGGAAGCTCCCGGTACGACTCCCTCCGCTGTTGATTAACCGAGGCTTTGGCAAGGTACTTCTCCGTGCTTCAGTCGTCCTGTCTGTTCAATGGGAAACTAACAGCAGTACCTACCACACAGGATGGTTGGTGAGGACTCAGTGAGGTCACGAGCATACGGTGCTTGGAAGCGTGTGGCCTGTGGGAGCATCCAGCGTGGCTCTCCTTCCACCCTGTTACCCCCGCATCTGCGTCCCCCACCCCGGGTCTGGGGCTCCGGGCATCCTGCTCTTCCTCCCCTTTTCTCTGCCCACTCCCTCTGCTTGGCTCCCTCTCTCCTTCTTCCCACCCTGACGGAGCCCAGCTCAAATTCCTGCTCCTCTGGAATGTATTCCGCGGTCCCTCTGGTCCAAACTACTGCCTCACATTCCAATAAAAATGTGTCTGTACTTCTAACGCCCCAATTTGCCTTGTGTATCCAAGGGATTTGTGTGTGGCCGCTGCTAAGGGCCCCTGGGATACTGCAGGATAGTACACATTGAAAGCAGGAGCTCAGGGGGTGGGCGGCTGGCTCAGTGGAGCGCGCGACTCGATCCCGGGGTTTTGGGTTCGACCCCCCCCCCATGTGGGCGTGGAGATTACTTAAAAATAAAATCTTCTAAAAAGCCAGAACAAAACGAACCGAAAAGAAAGCAGGAGCTCAGGAAGGAGGGACAACAAAGGCTTGGGGGTAACAGAACCGGGGCCAGGAATGAGCTGACAAGCGCATACCGTGGGGCACTTGACGCCACGCCAGGGATTCCAGCCCTGGCTCTGAAGCCACGAGCGTTCTGCCTTTTGTTACAAAGCTACCAATATTCTCCTTTATGGCAAGTTAAGAGAGACCTGAACCCCGAGAGTAATTTGATTTTTGCAAATTCTCAGTCGTCACGAAACTGCCTGGCAGCCCACATAGACCGGAGCCCCCTTCTTGGGAGAACGCTTTATCTGGAAGCCAAAAGTTGGTACTTTTGAAGCTGCTGGGTTATACTGAGTGTGGCCGGGTGGGAACCCCCAGAGGGAGCTGGTGGGTCCCCAAGACAGGCTGGACAGGGCGGCCTGGGCTTTGGCGCCATCAGGGGGCACCCCTCTGACGTCCCCCCCAACAGGTCTCCATGCTCCCCCCTAGCTTCTCTAGACCCCCATGGAAATCTAGTCTCAGGGACTTCAGCTCTGAGGTCTCGAGGGCTGGCAGCTTACAGGGGTGCCTCTGCAAGGAAGCTGTGCTTTGGCAAGAACAGCGCCTGGATGGGCTGCCCGAGCCTCTAGTAGACCGAGGCTCCCCGAGGACAAGGACCCCGCTCACCTCATTCATCCGCAAGTCCCAGCTCCAGGCACAGCACATGGCGGGAAGGGCCAAGTTCACAGCTGAGAGAATGGGGTGGGGGTGGTGGGGGGCGGTCAGACATCAGCTGCAGGTCAGCTGCAGGTGGAGGGCGAAGCGCTCTGACCAGAGAGCCCTCCTCTATGGCACATCCGCTGTGACCTTTCCTATAGGATGAGCCACCCACGTGTGCCATTCTGGCCATGGGGTTGAAGGCAGCACAGGTAGATTCATTTTCCCAGAAGAAATCCAGTGTAGCCTTGGGGGGGCGTGGGCTCACCTGGCAGGAGACACCAGGACCCATGAGGCTCCCGTGTCCCACATTCAGGCCAAGCCTGGAGAAGCCTTCAGGAGAGATGGGATCTCCAGCTCCAGTGTGTACCCTGGGGAGCGGGGCCATGTTAGCCGGACGATTTGGGCGGCGTGTTTCCAGAGACATTGCTATATAGCCTTTCCCTTAAAGATGAAAAACCATTGCCTGAGTTTCCATACGGCTGAGTGGTACCCAGATTTCTCACCTGGGCCCTCTGGCATCATGACCTCACCTCCCACCTTACCCTCTTTCCACTTCGCACCTTATCCCCCACAGCATCTCTGCATTGACCGGGCATGCCGGCCCGGCACCCCCAACGTGATGGCCCCATCCTCCCTGATACGGGCCCTCCCCCCGCCCCCGCCTCGAGGAGCCTTCCTCCCTCGGGGTGAGGAGCGAGGCGCGTCTACTTCTCTGAGCCCTACCGACTCTGCCATCCCCGTGGCCTACAGGCCCGGTCTCTGTTGCCTGCTATTTTAAGTTTAGTTTTCATGTCGAGCCTCCCTCTGGGAGGGAGGCTGTGAGTTTCCTTGAGGACAAGGACATTATCTTGCTCATTTCTGTGTCTCTTGGACTTCATAGGAACTTAGTACATATTTACTGACCATCTTATAGTATACCTTGGCCCGTTCATAACAGGAACAAAGCCTGTTTATTTGCTTTGCCCGGGGGCCAGCTTGCTGTGGGGGCTGGTTTGGTTTTTTTAAATTATGGACCTTGTTGGGACAGGAATGAGAATGGTGGGGGGTTGTGGAGAGGGGTGATTCTCAGGTTTTACCCTAAGTACTTCTGTATCCTTTGAACTGTTTACATTAAGCCTGTGTTTATGTATTACTTTGGTAATAAAGCAATTTATTTAGACTGTGCTGTTCATAGGAATATTTTCTAATTGAGGGGACAAGATGACCTTTTTGGGTAAGATTTTCCCGTATTCTTTCCAGTACCCCAGACTCAAATCCTTCCAAAGGGGTATCATGGCTCTCTCCATGTTGTAAATGTGTCTAACTCCACAAGATTATAAGGGACAGCACATAGATTAGGAATTTTATGTGGGCTGTAATTGGGGATCATTTTTAACTGCCTGGAGTCCCTTGCAATATTATTGCAGCTGTGAGTGGATTATGGTTAGTTCTAAGAATCCCTTCATCACACCGAGATGTCCGTGAAAAGTTATTTGCTGTACTTTATCCTCTCATTTTTCACTGGGAAAGGGAGCCAGCGAACCATGTTTATCCTGGTTCCCAAAGGAGAGAAGGACCATGTCCCTCCACCCTTAAAGAAAACTCTTTTATTTGAAATGTCTTTTCCATTTACCCTGCTCTGAATAATGGAGTTTTTAAACTCGTTTGTTTTTCTAAATATTAAATTTTCAAAGAAAGGATGTTTTTTAGTTTAAACTGCCTATTTTAGGTCTGTAATGGTTCTCTCGGTCTGGCACCCACCAACAAGAATTTTCAAAACAGCATCCTACGGGTCAGTTGAGTAGCTAAAAAGACAATTCAAAGCCAAGAGTGTTGGCTTATAATGCTGAGACAAATCTCCCCGAAATATCTTTGCTTTTCTTTGCATGCTGGGGCCCGGAGAGGCCACCTGAGCCCTCCTCTTGTCTCTGGGCACGCTGGTAGGTGGGCGGCATGGGGTGGAACTTGTTGAGACAAGCAGTGCAGAGTCACACAGCATCTCTCAGCTCCATCAGCCCTGACGTGGGTCTGCTGGGTGGATGACCACAATGTGTCATAGACCTCCAGTGCACCCCAAACTGGCCCCAGCACCTGGGATTCTTGGACTGATGGCCTCATTCTCTGCCCCCGCCTCCAGACCTTTTGCTATTGCTTTGGCTCTGAGCTTCTTCAAAACCATGTAAAACTTGAAGACTCCAAAGAACTTCTGAAATCCAGAGCAAGCCATTTCCTGTTAGGTGTCTTCCTGGATCCTCGTTTCCAATTTCTCAGTCATCCTAAACGTGCCTGCTGGTCGCTTGCACCATCCACGCTGCAGAGGGTAGTCCTGGTCCCGTTGTCAGGTTCCAGTAATGTCAGCGTTTCTCAGTGGTGGGCTGTTGACATTGGGGCAGGCAATTCTCTGTCCTGTATATTGCAGGACATGTAGCGGCTCTGGTCCAGCCCACCCAATCCCAGCCATCACCTCTAGTCATTACGACAACCAAGAATGCATTCTCAGCCTGGGGGTGGGGGTGAATGCAGTAGGAGCCTCAATTTGGGGGGAGGTCAGTACCACCTTCAGCCTATGGGGAGTAGTGCCACCCCCAGCTGAGGACCCCAAGGTTCTTAGCCGTGTGTTCTGGAGGGCAGGCATTTCTCTTCTTTCATGGCGAATCCTTAGCACCCATCAGCTAGTGCCAGACTCATGATGGGGCCTCAGTAAATATTTGTCGAACGAATGAATGAGACCCCCAAACAAGCTTCAAGAGGGCCTGTGAACCTTGTAAAATTGCGTGCAAAATGTGTGTGCATGTTATGTGTGTCTCACACATGGGTTTTCTGGGGGCGGAGTTTATAGCATCCGTGATAGCTTCCAAGGGAACTTGTGACCTAAGGGGACGTTCAGCAGACTGTCCAACCGGGGTCCACCGCGAGCCCGATGTTTGTATCCCTGCACACCTCATTGCACAGTGTTTGTGGGATGAATCTTAGAACACCAGCTCTAAACAATATTCTAATATCCCCGCAGCAAGCAATGTCCTGCACATTCTAGGGGAGACTCTGTTCCCTGAGTCTCATCACCCAAGTCCCTGCCATGCAAAGACAGTATTCTGTCCTATAACAAGAAATGGCCTTGCCCCTGGGCTCCTTGACTCACTAACAGGAAGGTCTGGTGAGAACAGGGCAGGCACGAGATGTTTCCTCCCGAGCTGAAGAGTGTTTCCCGGGGGGCTTTCCTCACGAAAGCCAAAGGAATTGGGGGCATCACGCTACTTCCCAGAAGCCGAAGCTCACACAGCTGGGCAGAGGGTGGCCGAAGGAACCAGAGTGAGCGATCAGGACTTGCTTCCTTCCTGAGAGTTCGCTGTGGAAGCAGTCGTTCTAATAAAGCACAGCCAATGCCCCAAGAACAGCTGGGCCAGGCTGGGGGTTGAGCAGAGGGTCCAGGTTCCAGATTCATTTGCAGACCTGCCTGGTGGTTTATGCTCCGCTCATGGACCCGGTGGAATGACAGCGTGACCCGGCTGCCATGGCCCGCGTGGAATGACAGCTTGGCCTGGCTGCGGTGGCTTTCAGTGAGGTCTTAGATGGATGGGTATGGAGGGTATTAACGTAAGGATGGCTCATCCCTGCTGCTTTCCCAGCATGCATCTGCCTGCCCATCACGGAATTGTCCTGTTCCAGGAAGAGAAGCTACGGCATTCTAGAAAGGGCCTTTGGCCAGGGGAGGGGACAAGACTGGGTACTGGAAGCACCCAGACTTGGAGTTAATCTCTGGCACAAACATTCGGTGGGAAGTCAGTGATATCATTCGCCCCCAGAGGGATCATTCTATTGGCAGAAGCTTCCAGCATATTGATTACCGAGGGGGAAGATGGAAACTTGGAGAAACCCCTGACAGCCCAGAGTAAGCTTCCAAGCTTTAGTTTGCCTAAAAAAAAAAAAAAAAAAAATCACCTGGAGAGCTTGTTGCGTCAGATTCCTGGGCCCCAACTCCAGGTCGTCTATTCCGCAGGGGCCTGATAATTTGATTTCTGACAAGTTCCCTGGTGTTGCTACCGTGGGTCTGGGAACTCTGAGAACCCCTGGTGGCCGCTGGGTTTTCACATC